GTATATTTGATATATTTTAATACTCTGACTAATGCTTGCCAATGATCATGTCCAGGATTATTTGTGTATCTACTAAGCCTGCTTATTGAATAAGCCAAGTCTGGCCTTGTAGAATTCTTTTTTTTTTGACCTTGTAGAATTCATCAAGTACATTAAGCTTCCAATTACCTGGGAATATTCTAACTGTGAGATTGCATTCCCACTATTTTTCCTTAATTTGCAATTTGCATCAAAAGGAGTTACAGCAGGTTTACACTCAAATTGACCAAATTTCCTTAGATTTTTTTCTGCATAATGAGATTGAGTAAGAATATATCCGTCATTATTTCTTATTATTTGAATTCCTAAAATGTCATCGGCTTGACCTAAGTCTTTCATGTCAAAATTGGAATTCAACATCTTTTTTGTGGAATTTATTATATCTTTACTCGTTCCCATAATAAGCATATCGTCTACATATAAACATACAATCACACAAGAGTTTTTAGTGTTCTTAATGTAAACACACTTATCGCACTCATTGATTTTGAATCCTTGTGTCATCATTGTAGATCAAACTTTTCATGCCATTGTTTTGGAGCTTGTTTAAGTCCATATAAAGATTTGACGAGTTTACAAACCTTATGTTCTTGACCGTGGACTGTAAATCCTTCGGGTTGCTCCATATATATTTCCTCATCTAATTCTCCATTTAAAAACGCTGTTTTAACATCGATTTGATGAATGTCCATATTATGTATTGTTGCTATCGCAATTAACATTCTATGTTATTCTTGATACGCTAGAATAAGTATCGAAATAATCCAAGCCTTCTTTTTGCCGATACCCTTTGGCTACCAAACGAGCTTTATATTTATCTATGGTACCATCGGCCTTTAACTTTCTTTTGAATATCCATTTATAACCTATTGGTTTGTTTCCAGGTGGTAAATCCACCAATTGCCAAGTGTGGTTCTGTAAAATGGACTCAATCTCACTATTTATAGCTTTCTTCCATAAATGAGCTTCTGGTGAAGCCATAACTTCCTTATAACTTTCCGGTTCTGCTTCAATAAAGCATGTAACAAATTCCGGTACAAAGGTTTTCGGAATTTTGATTATGTTTCCTCTTCTCGGTTCCAAGTCTTTATCTTGAACACCCAAAGAAGAAGACTCATTATATCGAATTCTCTTATTATTCGATTCAGACTTGCTGTCCTTGTTCTTTTTATAAGGAAAAATTCCTTCAGAAAATTCAGCGTCAATAGATTCAATAATGGTGTTCGTATGTATGTCTGAAATTTCAGATTTAATAACCAAGAATCTATAAGCTGCACTATTAAGAGCAAATCCTAAAAATACGCAATCAATTATTTTTTGTCCAAGTTTAGTCCGTTTTAGTAATGGAACTTGAACTTTCGCCAGACAACCCCACACTTTAAGAGTTTTGTACGACGAAATTCGTCCTTTCCATATTTCATATGGAGATTTATTGGTCTTCTTATGTGGAACTTTATTCAATATATGATTTGCAGTAAGTAAAGCTTCACCCCACAAATTGTGTGGAAGCCCCGAGCTATTAAGCATGGAATTTATCATATCTTTAAATGTTCGATTTTTCCGTTCGGCAACACCGTTCTGTTGTGGTGTATATGGGGCTGTTGTTTCATGAATAATTCCATGTTGAGCACAAAAATCGGAAAATGAAGTGGACTCGTATTCACCACCCCTGTCTGATCTGAGTGCTTTTATTTTCTTATCAAGTCGATTTTCAACTTCTGCCTTTTATGTCTTAAACATCTCAAAAGCTTCATCTTTGCTATGAAGTAAATATACATAGCAATATTTACTGCAATCATCTATGAATGTTACATAATAATTCTTTCCACCACGAATAGGAGTTGATTTGAAATCACAAAGATCACTATGTATTAGTCCAAGTAATTCATTAGATCTTCCCTGTATAGTTTTAAAACTTTTCCTAGCTAATTTAGATTCAACACATATTTCACATTTATGATTGAAATTATTATCATTTTTCGGAATTAATCCCAATTGCATTATTCTATGTAAGGAACGATTATTTACATGACCTAGTCGAGAATGCCACAAATTAAAAGAATCAACGAGATAAGCAGAATTCTTATTTATTTTATTAATACCATGCATAGAAATTACATTAAGTTTGAACATAGCATCAGCCAAATAACCCTTCCCCACATACATTCCACCCTTAGTAAACACACATTTATCAGATTCAAACACAAGTTTAAAACCCTTTTTTGGTGAGAATTGGACCAGAAACCAAGTTCTTTCTAATCTCAGGAACGTGAAGGACATCCAAGAGAGTTAGAGTTTTTCCAGACGTGAATTTCAGCACCACATTGCCTTTGCCTTCCACTGCAGATGCCGAAGCATTGCCCATGTATAGTTTTTCGCCACCAGTATTTTGCATATAATCAGAAAATAAATCCCGATCAGCGCAAATATGCCTTGTTGCACCTGTGTCTATCCACCAGCCCTTAACATCGGAAACCATGTTAACTTCAGAAGCAACCGCAACAAAGTTGTTGTCATCTGTTGCAACATTTGCCTGGTTGTTGGGGTTGGCTTGATCTTTACGGTGTCGGCAATCTTGTGCTTTATGGTCTCCTTTTCCACACACCCAGCAACTTCCTTTAATTTTCTTAAAGTTCTTGTCTTTGGGAGCATGAAAATTTGCAGGAGCAGGCTTTGCAAAGTTCTTTTCTTTATTCTTTTTCTGGAATTTTGGTTTCGACGGCATTCCTTCCACCAGATTGGCTTTGGCCTCCATAGTAGGAGCTTCAATCTTGTCTCTCTTTCTATGATCTTCTTCAACTCGAAGCCTTAGAATTAAATCCTCCATTGACATCTCACTACGCTTGTGCTTTAAGTAGATCTTGAAGTCTTTCCAACTAGGGGGTAACTTCTCTATGATAGCGCCAACCTGGAAGTGTTCATTTATGGAACATCCTTCTGCATGTAGATCATGGATAAGCACTTGGAGTTCTTCAACCTGTTTCACTACAGATTTTGAATCAACCTCAACCATAACATATTTGAGAAAATTGGCGATTACAAATTTCTTTGCACTAGCATCTTCTGTTTTATATTTTTTCTCAAGTGATTCCCATAATTCTTTAGCGGTTTTACAGGTTGAATAAATATCATAAAGAGTATCATCGAGACGATTAAGGATATAATTCCTGCCCAAGAAGTCGGAGTTCGTCCAGTTGTCCAGGGCCATCATTGTTTCCCTCGTCGGTGGATTTTCTGTCGAATTCGGGGCATCTTCTCGGACCACATGAGCCAAATTCATGGTGGTGAGATAAAACAACATTTTTTGTTGCCATCTCTTAAAATCGATCCCTTTGAATTTTTCCGGCTTCTCGTCGTTAGGGCCCTTAGCCACACCAGTGCCAACCACAGATGATTGTGCGTCCATAATGTAAAAACTTTACTTACTGTCTTTAGATTGTTAGAACACATCAATCAGAAATTCAAAATAAAATATAATCAACGATAAATTATCAACAAAAGGTTAAACGAAAAACTAACTTGAGAAACGAGATAGAGGCTTGCAGAATTGCAATGTCCTAAAGACAGTAATTTCACCCCTTCACCATGCTTGAAGTTCTACAGATGATTGTCTCCCAGGATTCAACTACCTATATTCCAAGTACAAGCACCAATACTTGGAATCTACTGAACTTTATGTTTCTTCTCTCAATATTATGATATGATTATGCAAAGTGCAAAAGAATATGTATTTCTCTGGAATGAAGAAAGAGATATTTAAAGAGTTGAAGCACCGTTTCAGATTCACACGAAGAGTCCTTTGGATAAAGAATACATCCCTTTGATAAAAAAATAACGTTTTAATGAAAACTGACTCTTTGGCGGCACTCAAAGCCATTTCCATGGCCAAAGATAGAGGCTGGTCTGATATTGTCATCGAGGGGGATTGTCTTCCAATTATTAAAGCTCTTCGCGATGGAGAGAATGAGGCTGCTGACTTCGGGGCTGTTGTGGAAGATTGCCGACAAATGGCTCTAGAATTTCAATATTGCTCTTTTAATTTCACGAAGCGGTCGGGTAATAAATTAGCCCACGCTATTGCTCAGATTCCTTGTAATAACGTGGTGGAGGGTCTTGTTCTCCCACCTAATTTGGCGTATATTGCCTAATAAAGTGCGTTTTTTCTCAAAAAAAAAAAAAACTGCTGATAATTAATTAAATCCGAAATTAAATTAATTAATGTGTTTTTAATAATACAAAAATCCAACAGAGCATAATATAAACATATCTATGTAGCTTGAATTAAGAGTTAAGACTAAA